TGTGCACGTCGCAGCTCAACTTGGACGGGACCACGTCCGCGTTTGGCGCTACGGAGCGCAACGCTGTCAACAATGACATCATCGAAAAGTATGCGTCGCAAGCCTACCGCACGTTGTGTCTGGCGTACCGTGACGTGGATGTGACCCCAGAAGTGGTCAAGAACTGGTCGGACGAGGAGATTGAGACGGACCTGACGTGCATTTCCATCGTCGGGATCGAAGACCCGGTGCGTGAAGAAGTGCCGGAATCCATTCGCCAGTGTAACGAAGCGGGTATTGTCGTGCGCATGGTGACTGGCGACAACATCGCGACGGCCAAGTCCATTGCGCTCAAGTGCGGAATCATCAGTCCCAACGACGGGTCGCTGGTGATGGAGGGGTCCGTGTTCCGCGCTCGCGTGTTGGACGCGAACGGCAACATCAAGCAGGACGAGTTTGACAAGATCTGGCCCATGCTTCGCGTGTTGGCTCGGTCGAGTCCCAAGGACAAGTACACGCTGGTGTCTGGGTTGATTCAGTCGAACGTGTATCCGCATGGTCCCCAAGTGGTGGCCGTGACGGGCGATGGGACGAACGACGCCCCGGCTTTGAAGAAGGCGGACGTCGGGTTTGCGATGGGGATCTGCGGCACGGCGGTGGCCAAGGACGCGTCGGACATCATTCTCATGGACGACAACTTCCGGTCGATCGTGAGTGCGGTCAAGTGGGGCCGCAACGTGTACGACTCGATCGCCAAGTTCCTCCAGTTTCAGCTGACGGTCAACTTGGTGGCTATTTCCACGGCGGTGATTGGCGCGGTGGTGCTGGAAGAGTCGTCACTCACGGCCATTCAGTTGCTGTGGGTCAACTTGATCATGGACACGTTTGCGTCGTTGGCGCTGGCCACGGACGCCCCCACGGAAGCCATGCTCAAGCGCAAGCCGTACCCGCGCACCAAGCCCCTCATTTCGGAGCGCATGTTGAAGCACATTGTCGGCCAAGCCATCTTCCAGTTGACGGTGATTCTCACCATGACGTTTGCCGGGGACAAGATCTTCGGCATTGATTCGGGCCGCAAGTATGACCGCCCGGTTGGCACGACTGGACCGTCCGTGCACTACACGATGGTCTTCAACACGTTTGTGTTCCTGCAGCTGTTCAACGAAATCAACTCCCGCCGCATCCACGACGAGCTGAACGTGTTCGAGGGCATCTTCGCCAACCCCATCTACCTTGGCATTTCGGTCGTCCAAGTGGTGTTCCAAGTGCTCATCGTCCAGTTTGGGTCGCTCGTGTTTAGCTGTGTGCCTTTGGACGTGACCCAGTGGATCATCTGTCTGGTCATCGGGGCGTTGTCGCTGCCCGTGGGCTTGCTCCTTCGCCTAATCACCCTTCCTGCTTCGTTCACAGTATGCCAAGAAACAGCCCCCGTGGCCCACGTCCCCACGGACCGCACCAAGGAATTGTGGATCCGAGGCTTTAAGCGCCTGCGCACGCAAATCCGAGTCATCCGCGCGTTCAAGCGAACGCTGTCGCAGCGCAAATTGTCCCAATTCGAGTAGAGACACCACAGCTATTTACATGAACGACGATTCAAATCCATGAGTGTTGCTTTGCTACATGTATGTCGGTCTTGCAGTGAATGTTAGCCTGTAGCCCTGTAACCTTGAACTCCCAAGGTTTATTCATAGTTACATCGCCAGAGCTTAGCCTCCGCGAACTAACTTGACGATACGTATAGTGTTTTTGATCACATGCATGGACACTTTACCGGGGTGAAGGCCTTACTCTTACGTACAGTACTACTAATACTGATTACACTGTGAAGTAAAATGCGCACGCAAAGCAGTGTCCGTGTACTACTACTGAACGCGTCCATCACGAAGGAATGGCATAGAGCATCGCATGCAAGTGTACGCCATTGTCGATGCCTTCTAGTAATGTCGATAGCCGACATAACAATACTAACGTTACCCCAACATGCTCCTAAAATAGAGTCTGCACATGGATTGGCTACATTGCATGTCCGTTTCAAGTTCTAGCCAATCCTCATTCACGTCCACAATGCACGTAATTTCACCTTCCGACGACGAGGATGATTTTGTGGTCGAACGTGTCGAGGCCGTCCGCGGCGACAGCAACTTGGACGGCGTGCTGACACTTGTTGGTTTCCGTAGAAATGACAGCGTTGTGGGACGAGGCTGTACCGCATGGGAGGTCGACACCACCAAAGCCAATGCCGATGGTCGTTGCAGCAGGGAACTGGGAGTCGACTTGTTGTCCTACAGTCACACTGATCTCGGGGACGACCACCGGCACAGAAACGGGCATTGAAGGGGAAGGGGCCAGCTCGAGTAGAATCGCCTGACGCGCGGCTTCCCACTGCCGCTTGTAGTCGTCGATCGCTTCGTTAGCTCTTTGTTTTTTCTTCATGCCACGAAGAAGGCTGCATCATGTTCTCCGTGTCTTTGTCGCCCGGAAAGTACGCAGCCAATACGACGGCGGGACTGGAATCGAGCGCCGCATCCCACAACCCCCGGGAGTCGTCACCCCAGAGACACCGCGGTCGTGCCAGCTTCGCGTCGCCGTGTGCTGGGACATGATGAAGAGGTCGGAGTCCCACACGTCCATAGACTCTTCGGGGAACTGGGCGTCGAATTCAATACTTAGCCCATGCTCTCGATCGTCGGCGGTGGCAGCGGCGGAGTGTTCTTCTTACGCTTGTTTGTCTTGTGCATCGTCGTGGTGGGCAATCGCACACTCGTCGACTGCGTCACGGTCGTCGTCGTCACCCAGATGGCCCAACACCGCGGACATCGTCGTCGCTCACGTCACTGAAGCAAATGGCGCGCACCACCACCACGCTGCCATGACGTTCTTCGTTGCGATCGTTGCCAAAGCGTCGTCGGTGTCGTGGATGGGTCTGTCTTCCGACGTGAGTACTTCGAAGTACTATTTGTATATGAGAATGTGTCGCGGGTTGTTGATACAATTCAAATAATAACGCATTGGCCTCCTACAAATTCCAAGTCCGATAGGAAAGATTGTAACATAATTGAGCCAACTCATTTCCACATTGTCACAGATGCAGCATTGTCCGGATAAATGTTATCCGGGCAATGCGCGTGTCCGAACAGCAACGGAGTTGATTGCGGAAGGTACAACGAGAACTCCGTCGACGATCACCGCATTTGTAAATAAACAATCGAGCTGGCCCCGTCCCCACCGATGCCTGTGGCCGTGCCGATGGTCGTCGTAGAGGTCAGTGTGACTGACATCGAGTCGACCGACACCCACGTTTGAGGTACATGGCTCAGTGTGGAGATAAATAGAAAATACAACAGCCTTTAGTTAACTTACAACTCCCGTCAAGGATTTACAACTATCGTCAATAACTACCGTCAATAATAGGTACTACTCTGGTCCAAAATAGTTGTTAGGTAGTTTTTTCTATTGGCGGAATTTTTCAAATATGCACGAATATGTGCATATTGATGAAAAATGGTTCTATCTGACTAGGGTTAAAAGAAAATTCTATGTGTACGAGGACGAAGCTGTCGCAGCTCGATTTGTGAAGTCGAAACAGTTTATAACAAAAGTTATGTTCTTGGCGGCCATTGCCCGCCCTCGTGTTGACTTAAACGGCGCTATTTTCGATGGCAAAATCGGCGTTTGGCCGTTCGTCGAAAAAGTGCCTGCACGGCGCAACAGTAAAAATCGGTCAAAAGGCACGATAGTGACGACTCCACAATCAGTCGATGCTAAAGTATACTTGGATATGGTTTTAAATAATGTTGTGCCTGCGATACAGTCAAAGTTCCCACCGCAGACTGGTGTTGTAATCCAACAAGATAATGCCAGCCCCCACAAGTGCTTGACAACAAGTATGCTGAAGTCGCGAAGTATCAACGGAATTGAAGTGAAGAATCAGCCGCCGAATCGTCCAGAGTTTAACGTTTTAGTTATTTTAACTCTATTCAAAGCCTGCAGTATCAAAAGTGCACTCAAACGATCGAGGATCTTATTGATGCTGTAGAAACCTCGTTTTATGAGTTGCCTGTGGATACGGTGTCAAAAACTTTCATTACACTTCAAAAGGTGATGGAGAAATGCATCGACATACTGTACATGGAAGCAACGAATATAAGCTCCCTCATATGAAGAAGGACGCACTGATCTCAGACTTCACGTCCTTCAACGTTGAGTGTGATGCCTATACATACGAGAGTGCTTTGATCCACTTGAACTATCGACTGGGCGAGGAAGCGTCCATGGAGGCACAAGTGAATTCCCAAGAACAAGCTGTTGTGACAAATTAATAAAATGTCATTGTATTTTTGGCCTTGCATATGCGTTTCTGGAGTTACATACAAATATCAAGCTGTTTCGAATTGGTCTCTCATACTTTAATCAAGTCAAAATGAACATAACAACTATTTTGGACCAGAGTAGTACGTAGTATTGCTAAAAGCATGAAAAAAGAATGAACCTCCCGGGACTCGAACCCCGGGGGCCAGGGGTCGAAATAAAATAATGCATAAAACATACTAGTAAATATTTAGGGGTATTATGCATAATGTATTTTCAAGAATTGGAAAAAATATGCATGATGTATTATGTATTTTGACTCGATTTGACAATGCATACAAATAATTTGTCACATGATAACATCGCCTACCACACTGCTTACAGTTAGTAGCCAGTCATTAGTACAGCTGTTAGTTCGTAAGGCCGCTGTTGGATGTTATTAATCATCATTTACACCTTTAAACGCTCGGTGATGTCCACGTTTCTCTCCGGCAAGTCAACCGCGCCCAAGTTCTCGCCCGAGCAGTGCAGTAGGTACTTCTTTTCTGATATCACTGACTCGAACGACGAAACGACTGGGCGATGGCGTTGTACCCTCTGCCAGCGCACGTACACCCAACAAGAAGGCAGGGATTACACGAATCTACTTGCCCATGTCAAGGCAAGTCATAGTAACTACGCCACACTCATGCGCGAAGCACCAACAGCAGCGCAGTCTACTAACATCAGGCTTTGGGTCAGTGACCGGGTGAAAGGGCGATTCGGCTGGATCTCGTGGATTGTTGAAGAAGGACTACCGCTTACGTTCTGTGAGAAGCCATCGACTCGGCGGTAAAGTCTTGTACTTATTATACTTTTATGAAATTGATATATCCAATTTTTGTATTGACTTTTCCTATATTTTGTATTGTATTGTACGCAAACGTATATGGAATACAATTTGTAGTCCTGTACCGATTATGATTTTGATCATACACATATCAAACATTATTGTTTAGATTTACGAATTTGCCTATAATTTCTCATGTGACCCTTCGCGACAACATTTTACGGCTTACTGAAGTCGTCGAAAAAGAGATCTCAAAAGAAATTCCGGATCGTTTTGGCATTATTTTCGACGGGTGGACACATAACTCCGAGCACTACCTTGCGGTCTTTGGGTCGTACGAAAAGGATGGAGTCTTTGAGCAGCCTCTCCTGTCGCTGGCGCCCATCATTCACGAGCCGGATGACTACCACAGTGCGAAGACGCACTACACTGCAATCAAGTCAGTCTTGGCCATGTTCAAGAAGACCATCAAGCAATGTGTCTTCTTGGTGGGTGACAACTGCAGCGTCAACAAAAAGTTGGCCAAGCTTATGTCCGTGCCGCTGATTGGCTGCGCCAGCCACCGATTGAATCTTGCGGTCAAGGCGTACACCCAGCAGCATGAGGACGAGCTCGCCAAGATACAACAGCTGATGATGAAACTGCGAACACTGAACCAGGCGTCCAAACTCCTGTAAGTCTATTTTATTGTTTAATATAATTTCATATAACATACCATATTTCTTTTCAATTATATTTTCAATTTCTAAATTCTATATTAATTTCGTAGGTTTCGTACAGAACAACGACCAATTCTCCGCCAAGACACTCGTTGGAGTTAAACGTTTGCCATGCTTCAGCGATTTTTCGAGCTTCGAGAACATCTCGCCCACGAGGACGACACTATTTTGGAAATTCTACCAACTCTTGGCGAAACGAAGAAGTTGAAATGTCTGCTGGAAGATTTGAAGAAGGTAGAATCCGTGTCAAAGCGAGTGCAGTCTACCGACGCTACAGTGTGGGAGGTACATTGGTACAAAATATCTTGAGTTGTATATATGAAATAAATCTAGTACACTTAGAATATGTTTGGTGGGTCAGCAAATATTGTTGGCAACCCAAATTTTGAAGATGCCGTCACGAAGCTTCAACGTGGTCGCATGCTCACTCGGCCAGAGAAGTTGGCCGTTGCTGCACTGCGAAGCAACTACGGCGCAGACGATGCCTCGGACGAAGATGCTGGATTTGACGAAAGAGCGTTGAGCGTGCGCGCCTGGCCGACGAGAATGACACCTATGTCCTCCTTGGTGCTGTCACCCCAACTCAAACATAGCTGAGCGTCTTTTCAGCATGGCGCGTGCTTTGATTGGCCTCGACCGTTTTTCACTGCATCCAATCATGATTGAGGCGACCCTCTTCCTTAAGTGCAACCGCAGCTACTGGGACGTATCGACTGTCCACGAAACGCTTGAGTAAAAATATGTTCATTAATGCGCATATATTGCATAATATGCATAATGTATTTCAGTCTATTGCAACGATTATGCATTATGTATGCACTGAGTAGCTAAAACATTCATATAATATGCATATTTTCGACCCCTGCCGGGGGCTGCGTGAAATCGCGAAATCCGATTTCGCCTGGGCAAAAACGTAATATAGTTTCGAACGAAAAGTTGGACAAGTCTTAATTTAAAATGAATATAAAATGTTTTCGAAATGTAAACAGACCAGTTTACATTTTGTATACTGAAAATTCAATACTTTGACCTAAAAAAGCCCTACCTAAACTTTGTCCAAATCCTTCCAATTTGTTTGTCCATAGACCTGTCACCAAGTTTTCATCGAATATGTAATCAGATTCATGAACTTCGTGTTGGTTCACGCGAAATCACGCCTCGAACATTGAAGTTTCGTCGGTTTCGTCAACCTTCAACCTAAAAAAACCCAACATAAACCTCCTTGAATTTCATATCGATTTGGCTCGAATAACAGAGCGCAACGTTGAGATTAGATTGTTGAATGAAAATACGTTCAAATAGAGTAAAAATTGGCCACGAAAGTTCAATAATCGTGTCACTTTACAAAATGTAAACTCCTGTTTACATTTTGTTAACTGCCAAAATTATTCTATTTTCGATTGAAAGTCAAACTGTCGAATTGAATACTCCGGAGTACCGTTACTATTGTGGGTTTTGTCCAGGCCAAAACCTCGTTTTCGCGATATACAGTACCGCAGCCTCATGTATGCAACGTACGATTCACTACTACTAAACCTGAAGCCCAGAAACCACTGTCATACCATCAGCTCACTTCGATATAGTCGGAAGTGTATAATACTACGCATAGTATAAATACTAACTGTAAATACTAAGGCTAGATACAACTGTAGTCGTATGGCTGAAGAATGGCCTGCCACCATTGAAATGGGACAGCCACCAATGTTTGCCACGCAGAGGAACTGGGCGAAATCTATCAGTTTTTGATCTTTCATGATTGAGAATTGTGCAATGCAGGCGACCGAAAACGACCCTGCAGTTCGATTTCCGTGGGCATCGTATGTGCCACAGCCCTCACGACGCAGTCAGCTCAATGTGGAAGTGCAGGTCATCGTCGCGCGCTCATCGCGTCCATGCTTCGGCATCTACGACTCGTGGTGAGATTGCGCGTGGTGGTGGCATGGCGTTTCGTAGCCGTGGATTGCCAAGACTAGCGGTGATGGACCATGCATTGTTGGATCATCCGCCGATTCATATCCTACGAATGTTAATGCGACTGTTAGGTGACGTGAAAGTGGGGTGACAAGCTCTGATGAATTGTTTCCCGACGCCAGCAATGTCGAAACCTCGACCGCTACAGACCAACGTTACGTTTCTGGTTTGATATCTATCTGGCCATCGATTGGCCACGCCATTTTTTTGGATCGTGGCTTGCCATTTAATCATGATTTTGCTGCTACTCATGTGGGTATTGATCCAACAACAAGCACTTTGATTCAACCGTGGGACGACCATGGTGTGGGTGGAGTGTTAACAAAGGATGGCACTGGTGTAATTACTACTGTGGTGGCACTACCGTGTGGGACGACGGTGGTGTGGGTGGACTAAACCATGTCGCTGGTGGAGTGTTGCCAAAGGGTGGCACAGGTGCAATTACTACTCGTGGTGGCGCTACCATGTGGGACGACCGTGGTATGGGTGGACTGACCCCTTCGTGCCATCGCGTGAGGTTGTCCGTGGTTGTGGTTTTACAACGACAAAGTGGCCATTATGGAGGGTCCCTGCCAGTAACTACCGCATGGTATATCGGGTCCAAACGAGTGCGTCAGGGGCGACGTGCTCTCTATGCAAATCTCGCCGTGTGAAGATTGTGTGGATGGAATGTGAATTAACATCAACTCTTGGACTGAATCTGTCATGTCCATCGAAGCTCAAAATCCTCGAGTGCGAAGCATGCCCAGAGCAAGTGTTCAAGAACTGTAGCCACAGCGACGCATGTGCGCAGTTTCCATGGTTGCAACCCGTGAGGCAGTTTGTCGACAATCTGACCAAGTTTGGTGGCAAGCCAGGCTACATTTACAACGAAGTTTTGCTGCGATTCGATGCAAGTGAAGTTCCATGACTTGCTGCCGTACAATCTTGCAATGCGTACGTGAGAAGTACCCAGCTGCATTCGAACTCCTATATTCACACGATGGAGTCATTGCTGATGAATCGCAGTCTTCAGGGTACCACCCAACCAACTGAGTGGTTTGGTTTTGGATACAACCATGTTCCTGCTCGGGTTAACAACGTGTCGCTACTTGCGCCTCCATGCAACTTCTCAACACAATATTGGGGGTGCAGTGGACTTCCGGGCAAAGCTTGGTGGTGTATTGAGCAGTTGGAGGCAAAACTAGGACTGAACTACTCACTAACTGACTAAACTTATTCTATACTAACTCTAAGTCTAAATCCCCTTTTGGTTCCACCAATCATCGAAGACTAAACCTGGCCTTTCCTGGTCATCACCCTTCCTGCTCGCACCACACACCTCGCCCCCCGCGGCCGTCCACCGCAGACCGGGCCTGGCCGCCCGAATGGCTCCAGCCAGGCGCGTCGAGTGGGTGCTAGGACTACGGGTATGTCCATCATGGCAACGCAGCACTCCCCCCATGCCCGTGTCCGGCACCTACCTCGTGTAACACAACTTGCAACAATGATATGAAGGAGGGTACTCTACAACCGTTCCAGGGCATCGACCAGCCGTTCGCATTTAGCGCCGTGTGGCAATTGGTCGGCAATCGACTGCACCAAAGATGGGATATTTTGGCGCATCGCAGGGAGCTTTTCCCAGCTTGCTTCGAGGCTCTCTAGGCCTTTCTAACGGATGAGTAACTCCCACTGGTTAAAACCAGGGTTGCGTCTTCGATTTGGTCAACAACCAGCGTGGTCCTGGCTCACTGACGTGGTCGATAATTTCTTCAATAACCTGAAAGTGGCTTTCCGCGTAGAACTTGAGTCGTGAGTGATACGCTTGCGCTCCACCCCCGTAATCAAGTGTTCTATGACACATGAGTAGGGCAGGCACTTGAGGACTCGAAAGGGCCAATCCATGTGACCCGTTGCTTGGGGTAGTTTGTGTTTCCGTCCACGCGTGACCAAAGCACAAAGTCTCCTCCTGTGACCTTCATTTCCTCCTCAAGCATTCGCTTGTTTTCGGCGGCGCGCCGCTTGTCGACGATTGTTGAGTGAACTTCTTGTAGTGATTTTCGCAGTTCCTCCACAGCTTGCCGTAGTTCCTTCCTTTCCAGTCGATCGTGTGGAACCTGATCTTCGATAATCGTACGTTGACTTTGCCAACGATGGTGTTGAGCGCTGTGGTCGGTTCCAAGCCAGTGAAGCATTCCATGGGGCTTTTGCGGTCCAGCGTCGCCACCGGCGTTTGGTAGATTTTGGCTTGTACAACCGGTTAACAGATAATCCCATTCTGTTTCCTTGAGTTTTGTTCCTCTCAGCATGATTCGCATGAGTCCCAAGATGTCACGGTTGCCTCGTTCAACCGTCCCGTTGCGCCACGGGCAGTATGCAAGCACTACTGTATGGAACGCGCATTCGCATGTCTCAGTTTTACCAATCACATAAACTTGCCCATTTTCATATTTCGACAATGAAGCAATGCCGCTCCACATCAAGGACTTGGTGCGTCTCGTGGAAACCCCCAAGGAGCATGCGGCGGGTGCCCTCGCGGAGCTTGGCGGCATCGAAGGCGTCGCGCAAGCGTTGAACGTGTCGGTGGACCATGGTCTGGACAGCGACAACACGGCCGACTTGGCCGCGCGTGAAAAGACGTTTGTTGTGCTGTGCTCGTAGGCGCGTAGCAACTTCCTTCATGACGGAGTTCTTGAAATGGCTTCCGCCAGATCCAGACTTCTGGGACTCCAAATAACGCCGACCATTCCATGATGGCTTTAACGGCAACTTAGCTTGTCGGGCTGTCGCATGCAATGAGGCGGCAGTAATAGGCCAAGTTGTCTTTGAGGACCAGTACGTACTTCGGTCCTCGCCACGCTTCACCCATAAATAGGAAGTCGAAGTTTAGGCCTTCGTTTCGGTGCGTCGCGTGCCAAGCATACTGTTGAGGTCGTTGAATGACCCTGCCACCCCTAGTGTGCGGGCACAGCAAGCACGTCTTCATCCATGCCGTGAGCTTTGCATCAAGCTCGCGGATGTAAAATATTTTCCGCAGGTGGGCTGCCATGGCTTGATGTCCGCGGTGGCCCATGCTGCCACAATGCGCGACGATGCAAAGACGCGTGAATAGGTCGTCGGCGTCGTCGAGGATCCAAATTCGTCCATGGACTTCGAGGAGCCCGCGGTCATCGTGGTCGTTGGTTTTTTTAGATTTGGAGTAAACCTGTGCGTGTCGTATAGCGTCGAGGTCTGGCCATATGAAATTGGTGTCGTCCAGCGGCCGTAGCTTAGGTGGAGGCGGTTTGTAGACATGCTTGGGTTCTTTTTACTTCTTTGTCCATTTGCCCAACGCGCGCATGTATTTTCGATGTTCCGTCCTTCGGAATGAGTGGTGTCGCTATTTCGGCGGGCTTTCCCACCAAATTCGTCGTACTTTCGCCTCTGTGGGATGCAGTATGCCCCATCGGCTCATGAGGTCGGCCCATAGATTGTGCACTCCGTCGATCTGCTGGATGACATAGCGATACTGGCCGATCATGTCGGCCCATCGGATCAGCTTCTTGCGCGGGTGTGCCTTGAGCTTGTCGTGCGGCGCGAAGACGCGAATGAGGTTCTTGTGATCACAATACATGAGGAACCCATTGGGTCGTAGCAGCAGGTACTTGAGGGTGTCGCAGGCACGCGCAATAGGGTAGCCTTCTTTTTCGATAACAGACCAGTTAACTTGCGTTTTGTCGAACATGCCGCTTTGGCGTACGAGGAGTTGATGTTATTGGTTTTGGATAGGGGTGTCGTCGTCGTAATCGTGTACTTGGGTGACTGCAATGGACCAGCCGTAGGCGGAGGCGTCGGTGAACAGACACATCTCAGCGTCTTCATGTGGGTGACACAAATGAGCGGCGTTTCGCATCAGTTCTTTGACTGCGTCGAAACTGCTCCGTTCTTCTTTGGTCAGGTCGATGGTGATTGATGTCGCAATTCTTTTTGCGTTTCTTTCCAACCAACGCTTCTGTGAGTCGTTTTTGGAATGGGCCGATCGTGTGGGCAAAGCCAATCAGGCTGTCGCGTATCCAGTTCACTGCGCAGATGAATTGCTGCAGCTGACCTGCATCGGTCTGTCGCATAGCGCTTGGATTCTCGTGGGGTCTTGTCGCACCCCGTCGCCCTCGATGGTTCTGCCGCACCATTTGATTTCGCTGCACAGTAGCTTGCTCTTGTGTGGGTTCAAACGCAGTCGGAACTAGATACATACATCGAACACGGCGCGCATCACGCTCACATACTCGTCGATGGTGTTCGCCCACACCAGGATGTCGTCGATCCAAATAAGGACGCCTTTGTACAGTAGGTCCTTGAAACATTCCTTCATGGTGTTCTGGAAGAACAGCGCCGAGTCACAGTGACCTTGCATAACCCTCGTTGGGGTCATGATGCGGTAGCCGAGCATAAAGGACAGAAGTTCTTGTGAGTTCTTCTCGAGTGGTAATTGCCAGAAACATTTCGTAAGGTCCAACACGCCGAGGTACTTGCCGCTGCGGACGTTTACTAACACGAGGAACTGGAACGGCATGGCGCCAGCGAGTGGGATCGTTTGGCTATTGATGATTCTGTAGTCGATCGTAAGACGAAAGTACTGCAACAGTTCTTCGATTGTCCATTTATCGCTTGTCTTGACGAGTTTCTTTCCTTCCGTAACCGGGTTGACGGGGCTGCAATGTGAGCTTGAGCTGTTTGCATAAATAACTTGGTCTTGCTCCAGCTGTTTGCCAAACGCTTCGACGAACATACCCGTCAAGGGGTTCACCTTTCTAGGTTTGCAACGATTGGGGCGTGCATCCGCCTTGAGTCGTATTTCCATCGCCTTCACATTCGCCGGGAGGTATGTGCCTCTGACCTTGGTTCGCCATACTCCTTTGGTGGCGGCGTCGACGACGATTCCTCGTATTTGCTTGAACGCCGCTGTCTGTTCTTGGTCGACGGCGTTCGCGGACGTGATCGCCATCTTGTACAGCTGTTCTGCTGCTTGCATGTCTTCCACATCCAGCTGTTCATCGCTTGCATGTGACCCCCGCAAACTGACACCGAATGCGATGTCTTCGTCTGCGCCGGGGTCGCCAATGTCGTCGCCGTCTTCACGGGTTTGGCGCACGGCCACTTGCTCGAGTAGTCGGTCCATGTCGAGTCCAATCGACATCAACGCGTACTTGCTAATAATGAGTTCGTCGTTTTCGTCGACCACGGAAAATAGCTGCTTTCCAGGCAGCTTAATTTGCCCGGCGGCCGTGCTCAGAGTGACTCGTAGTTCCACCGTTGTTTTGCTACGACGGGTAGTTTTACCACTGCGCTTCCAACCCATGCTTTGGGCAACTGCGCCGCTTGAACTGTTTTGTCCAGCTTGCGCAGTGTCTTGACCATGGTGGTGGAATTAATTCCCACATCGCTCCCGTTGTCAGGGCAGTATGACACGTTTAAAACTCCATTGATGGTGGCCGCCGGCAGGGCTTTCCAGTATTCTTCGGAGCTTCTTTTTCTCAGGCTCCGTTGCCTTTGCCGTGCGACTTTGCTTCTGTTCTTCCCGCCACTTCTTGTTGGCCGTCATGAGACTGTCCCGGATCTTCTTTGCTTTGGGCTTAAGCGCCTTCCTGTTCTGCCTGCGCTTTGCAACTAGCGCCCATTCGTACTTGACTTTGCCTCTGTCCTCGGCCGATGCGCCAGGGCATTTGTCGTATAGATGGGATGTGTCGCCGCACTTCAAACACCCCGTCGGCACGAATTCCCTTGGTTCACGTTGTTTGATTTTTGACTCCCAGCCATAAACGCGCCGCACAGTTCTGCTAGCCCCGACTAGATTGGCTTTTAGGATCGTTCGTCCCTTCCGCCGAATCACGTCCGGCTCGTCGACTTCGTCCACGCTGTCGTTCGTCAGTGGGATGAACTCCTCGGTTTCTACTAGCTCTTTGGTTTTGCGTTTTTTCGCTTCTCTCATTTGTTCTTCCACCACCCGGTAATTCTGTGATTTCCATCGGTTTTTGAAAGGGTTCACGTATCCGCCATGTGTGGCAGCTGTCACGAGGTTTCCATCCTCATCGTAGTCGTCCATATCAATTTCACCGAACATCAAAGGGTGATGGTTTCGTGGTTCGCGCCGGTCGCTTGATCGATGACGTCTGTCGCGCCCTTGACTGCGGCTTCTTTCGCGGTCGTCATGCCGTGGCCACACGTCGCGTTGTTCTTGTCGACTGTAATCATCCTTTCGCTGTTTCTTTTTATTCGTCGCTTCTTTGGCTTCATAGCCCGGCTTTTTACATCTAGCGCCGTATGTCGAGTAAAAACGCTGCTGCTCTTGCGCATGGTGCATTACCAACTCGCTGATTGATTCCCATGTGAATTCCATCGGATGCCAGCCATTTTCCATGTCGATGACGCACGCATCTCGGACTGGCTCTACCACTTCTAGCAGCCGTTTGAAAATCTTCTTCCGCATCTCGGGCTTCTTCAAATGTCCCTTCATGACGCGTGCTTCGATTCGCTCGTCGCAGTCCATCAAGAATTTGCACACGCGGCTGAGAACGTCGTCATCCTTCATGCCCATGTGGATCCCGTGGAATAGCAGCGGGATGTCCGCGTCAATACAGTTCTTGGGTTCGTCGACGATCTTTCGTAGCTCTGTTTCGAGCACAGCTTCGTCGAGCTCCTTGGGATCGCCTCGTAGTTTGCGCATGACCATGAACTGCTTCAGCAGTCTCTTGTCCTCGAAACATTCCTTCCATCCTTCGCGGTAGTTCCTGGCGGATGCCCTTCAACTTGGGGCAGCTGGGGACTGGGTGTGCACCCCCATCGATTCTCTCCAGCGGTCATACGCGCGGTCCGTTGCTCGTGCCTCTTTGGGCGTCGTCGCTGTGGCCCTGGCGCGGTCGGTCCTGTCCTCTCTGGGACATCTATGTTGAGTGCTAATCTTGATGCACTAAAGAATTTTTTGTCGCAACTTGCGCCTCCGTGCAACTTCTCAACACAACCACAATGTTTGGGGAGCAGTGGACTTCCGGGCAAAACTTGGTGGTGTATTGAGCAGTTGGAGGCAAAACTAGGACTGAACTACTCACTAACTGACTAAACTTATTCTATACTAACTCTAAGTCTAAATCCCCTTTTGGTTCCACCAATCATCGAAGACTAAACCTGGCCTTTCCTGGTCATCACCCTTCCTGCTCGCACCACACACCGCGCCTCCCGCGGCCGTCCACCGCAGACCGGGCCTGGCCGCCCGAATGGCTCCAGCCAGGCGCGTCGACTACGGGTATGTCCATCATCGCAACGCAACACAACGCTGTCGATGTTGGATCACGTAAATCAAGAGCCATCCGCGAAAAGGCTGCACTTGGATTGTACTCACACGATGACAAACCCGGAGTACCCACTTCTGGTATGCCTCTTGTCGGACAAGAGCAGGAATACGCATGTTGTCGCGTTGTTCCTGATGTCCCAAAAGAAGACAACCCAGTTTGTTGATGCATTGCAGGCACTGTCCGAAGCGTATGCAGCATGTTACAACCGACCCTTGCGATTGAGCTACGTAATGGGGAACGCTGATGTTGCTCAAAGCAACGCCGTTATCTCGGTTATGGGTGGCACCGTGACCGTTTTGATGTGTTGGTTCCACATCACTAAGAATGTCCGTGATCGCATTGTCACGTTTCGTATCACTGGAAGGCACAAGATCGTTGTGTGGAAACACATTTATGACATGCACTACGCGAAGTCATCGACAGAACTGCTTGGAACGATGGAAATCGCCAGGAACGAGTGGAATGAAATGGGACTACAGGAGTTTGAAGTTTACTTCTTTGGCCAATGGTTGGACATGTCCAAACCCACCTCGCGATGGCAATTTTATCATTCCCCTTCTGGCTTTGCTACTACGAATAACCCCGTGGAAGTGACAAAGTCCTAAAGCGTGATGTTACGAAAGGCGTACGGCTACAAACAGTGAACTTATGGAGAAGTTGGGATCCAACCTGGTGGTATTGTCAAAGGTGCTTCCAGAGGTATCCACGGAAGCGTTTGTCCCCAAAAAACTTGTCGCATGCATGCGCAAGTTGAAAGCACACAGATACATCCTCAACGTCGATCACATTGCGCCCCCCCGTGGAAGTATGGTGCACTTACTCCAGCCAACAACGTCGGTGGTGTACATTCAGAGTGAATCGCCAAACTTCTACGAAGCTACTTTTCCTCAGTTTGCCACTGACGAAAATGAACCAGATTTGACTAGTGCAACGGATGCAATTGCAGCCTACCATTTCAACTCAAATTCGAACGACTGCCGCAAGGAGCGTGAAGGTCAGCCAGATCAAGGTTGGGAGGTTGACGTTGAGGCAATATCGTGTGGATGCCTCTGCTACTTTAAACATGCGTGTTGCGTGCATAACAAGCTCTGGAATGCAAGGCTTCAACGACAGCAGAAGAAAACTCCAATCCCGAAGAGAGACCAAGAAACGAGTGTACCATTCAACCGACACTACCACGAGGTGCGCGAACGCAATCAATCGAGGCAGACCCCCACGAGCCGGTCATCCACTTCAGCGATACAGTCTGCACAATAAGTATAGATGCACCCCAAAATTTTGGGGTTCACAAAAGATCTGCTGATGCTGCAGCCACGCTAGTTGTACGTGCAGAAATGTTAATAAACCAAAACGGCAGTCCCCAAAAGGAATAAGGGCTGCTCGCTGCCGTTCACAAAAAACCAAAATTTCGAAAATTTGGTTGCTCAATTAGTATAGACGCACTTTCAATTCCAAGCTTCTATTGGATTTTTTTTGCAATTTTTAGCCTCCAAATTAGTCCACATGTTTACAATCATGACAAGCTCCCCCACCAACCCCCGATCACATATACTACTCTACCAGACACTTTGAGACCAATTTAACTGATTCATCGTCCTGTCCCACCACTAATGAATATGCATCGAGGATGAAACCCTCGCTCTTGCACTGCTATCACCCTGCTAAAAGAACTATGCAGAGCGGATCTGAAATGGTATTGGTGACGATTCAAAAATTGTAAATTATTACAGTTAATCAAGCCCATCCATCTCCGTAGATTTGAACCAAACTGAGCATGCACAGTTCGTGAAGCTGTGTGTTCCTAAGATAGTTTGGCTGCTTCTAAGCTCATCCGGAATCCAGTTTAGTTTCATGTCTGACTTGCTCCATCGTGGATTTAGCAATCTAGGGCCTCAAACAACAGTACACGTGCCCGCTATGCAAAGAGGAGTGAAATAATAAATACTACAAGAATGCCCAAGTATACCTTTATCAATTCGTCATGGCCAAGCTTCAAGCACGCCTGGTATGTACTCTTGTCGCATCGTGGGTTACGATATTGCTCCGCTACTCGCTGCTTCAATTCTTCGGCTCCTTCGGACAAATCTGTATAATTTTCGAACGGCTTTGACACAAAGACCACAGACATTTTTGTTTGGCGTGTATTGAGTAAAACTAACTGCAGTATGAAAAATTATTATAAATATATACATTTGATGAAACAACTACCGCAGCTGTGGTTTGATAAGGCGGGCTACCAAAACCTTCACAATTCACTATTTTACTTCAATATAATTGGATGAAATAAATATAACGTTACATTCCAATTGGCTAAAAATCTTCAGTGGATGTAAGCATGTCGGCCTCTCTCGCCGCGGTCATGGGAGCGCACTGGGCACGCTGGCAAAGGACCCGTCGACTCATGCGTGCCCTACGAATCCGCGGTTCACTGAGGGAACGCAACTATGTTCGCACGGTATCCCTCGTGACGTACCAAGAAGATACACCATGGTACACAATGTATGCCACCAGGGACTCGCCATCGTTCATATCGACGGTATCTTTGACACCAGACGCCTTCGACATCCTCCTTACTCAGTTCAAGAAGCATTATGTTGTCAAGTCTCTCCCCTACCGCAGTGGGCGCCCACCACGCATACCGCACAAACATGCTGTGCTGGCCATGATCCTGCACTTCTACACCGCCGCTGTTGAAGCAAAGACACTGCAAAAACTGTTCGGCTTATCCAAGACAACGTTCTCAAGAGTGCTTCGTCGAGCCGAAGTCGCACTGTCTCGTGCTCTCAGTGGCATGCGCGACGCACGCATTTCGTGGCCGACCAAGGCGACGCAGGCGTTATGGGCGCGCAAGACCCAAGAGAGAGAACCGTTGGTCTCTGGTGTGTTCGCATTCGTTGATGGGAAGAACTTTCGAGTTCAAGTGCCTACTAAACACTGATTTGCAAAACGCGCAGTACAACGGTATGTATACAGTTATTGGTTTGTGTGTGCTTATTGTTGTCGTAGGATGGTTGCATTCTGTGTTTGTGTCTGGTGTCTTGTGCTTTGGTTTGGACGGGACGTTGATTTGGGGGCGTCACAATTGTCCGGGCTCATGGAATGACGGCGAAATGAGCCGTCGTTTGCAAGAAATCCTTGCCGACAACGACAAGGTTGGCCACGGTATGAAGCTTGCATCCGACTCAGCTTTTCCTGTCGGGGGTCGTTGCGCTGGAAAGATTGTGACACCCTTAAAGGAAGGCGATTTAGAAAGGTATCCTGAGGAGTGTCGATTAGGATTACAAGCAATGAGTGATTGTATTACATCTCTACGGCAGGCTGCTGAGTGGGTTATGGGTGCAGTACCTAAAGTGTACTGCCAACTACTGCTACCTTTACCCTACGATCCACTCAAGCGGCAAATGAGGTTAGACAATTTCTTTCGCTTGTATAACTTCAGAGTTCAGCAAACAGGAATAAGTAAAATCAAAAATGTCTTTGGTGTCAAAGTCCGAAGTATTCAATTTATCATGTCGAAAAAGTCCTAATTTGTCCTAAACTAACGCCTTGTAAGCACTTGCCCATATCAAAATGATAGTCATTTTATATCAGTTTTGATAAATTTGCACGGTATTTGATATTACATTTAATATTTCGATCAATTCCTAATTAACATCCTATTCTAACGAAAACTCCTAATTGTAATTCCAAACGAGGAGAAATTGTTTAAATATTTCCCAATCTAATATTCAATTTAGTATAATATATGCTAAATAACATCTTACATGGCATGAAATTTTCTATTTTTCATTCTTATCTCCAAGAAATTTCATGAACATCATCATCATCCTTTCTTCGCGGCGAGCTCGATCTTCTTCGGCTTTGTCTTGGCGTTGCTGCTGCTCAAATCGCCACTGTCGCTCGTTCTCCATGCGGCGCTCTTCTCGTTCAGCAGTATTTCTATCAATCATAAGAATAACAGACATCATATCTGCTGACGCCCTGTTGTCAGCATCCGCTGCTCCGTCGATGAACTTGTCGAGCGAGCGTCGTTTCTTCGCCACGTAGGATTGCAAACCGGCGCCGTCCACCTCCGTATTAGGACGCAGTTCGGCTGGGACGCTCTTGATCTTGCGGACGCATTGGCGGGACATCCTCAGGAGGCGGAAACGTTTCTAATTCTACAACAGTTTAAACAAAACCATTACTTTAGATAAGACGCACCTTGGTTGTCCTGGTCATCCTCGTCCTCATCGTCTTCCATGTTGAGGACAGCAGAGGCGTTGTCAATCTTGGCACTGACTTTCTTGGCCCGGTACACTTCAGAGGGACACAATGGATTGGCTTCGGGTGGTTGCGGAGCTGGGCAAATTTTCGCTTCATTGAATCCACGTCGCGATTTGGATACATGCCGTTCTTGAACGCCGATTCGACACGGTTCCAAGTGTTTCGGCCAGCAGGAAGGTGCTCTTCTACAAGGTCAAGCAGCAAGGACACGGATCCAGCGCACCATCCGCGCCCTCTACCTCTAGGCATATTGGAGAATAGCTTCTCCATCACATCACATAAAACGAGTGGATAGAAATTGAAGCGCGTATGTCCACTTGTTTTAGGAATCCTAAAATTCTATATCTGTTTGTAGAGTGCAAAATACTACAGACCTGTAGTATTTTGCTGAGACCGTTTTGACCTATCCGCAATTTGCTACCAGTATTTTTAATCGAAAAATGTCGCATTTGCTACCAGTAGCAAAATAATATGCGGAGGTTTTGGTAGTCCCCCAATGGTGTAGTATAAAGTTAGCTTACTACGGTTGAGATCGACCAAGGTATTCTGCACCCCCAAACGCGTCCAGCAGATTTCCACCAACTGGAAGACTTCAATAACCTTGGGGGTGGGTAGGCATTGGGTTTTGCCACACAAAAATTCGTCTACTGTTCGTGAGTATTTATATCATTGTCGTGACGTTTACCGTTATTATCTTCGGCGGCCCCAGTAATGTAAACCTACTTGTACATACCGCCGACAGGAGTGTTGAGAACATTGACGGCGGCTGAGCTCAGTTCGTCCCCATATCCCACCCTTTCAAAACTGCAATCTCGTAAGCAGTGGTGTGGAAATGTATAGAGGGGGACTTACGCGAGCTTGATCTGAGAGATAGATAAGTGTTTGGTGCGGCTATTGCTTCGAGCACTGAGCACGCTTTTTGCCCGTGCCAACGTTGAGTTCTTCGCTCGTTCAGACAGAATTTCATCCACCACAAAAAATTCACTCAACGAAGCTACAGTGGGTCGTTAGCGATTCAAAGGTGTTTTGGTGCAGCATCGGTCGTGAAGCTATATTACCTGTGACATCAATATATCACGTACCAAGGGCGTTGCTGGAGGTGTTTGATGTGGGATCGACGCGATGCTCATGGGCTGGAAAATTGGAAAATGACACGAACCAGTAATTTATGGTCGATGGGATTGGATCAAAATTAGCCAATGGTAACGAATGCCTTCTATTCACATGGATCCAAAAGATTCACAGTGTACTTGTGCATGCAATGAAGCGTCGCGGTGACCTACGCGGAGCTCGGAACTGCAAACAATGTAACTCCGAGTGCGACGATGGAACCATATGCGCTTGAGCTGGAAACACACTTATGCTGCAGATGCATGGATTTAAGATCTAAAATTAGGTCGACGCACAATGACGTAAGACCCATGACCGGGCCATCGAAGCAGTCTCGAATTTCACAGTGCGACGAACGCATTGAACCCTTCGTTGGTGATATGATCGTGGCACATTGACGTCATATCGCTCGCCTGGACCGTGCGTTTGTGAACTAGATAATCCAACAGGCACTAACAACATTTCAGTATCAGCACAAGGGCCCCAACGTGGGGTAAATAAATACGTTTCAAAGCACCGTTGTAAATCCTGGTCAAAGCGAGAGCGGCTACTACCCCAGTGAAGATGTTGACTTTGGTATTGACAACACGCATTACAACAGCGACAGTACTATGTAATCGGGGGGGCAACAGCTCTGCAGACTGTACGGCCCCCAAGTACGATGCAGTGAACTTGGGGGCCGTACAGTCTGCAAAGTTGTTTATGACCCTTGTGAGCCAGGTCTGAATTTATTGGGGAATCTTTATCCTCTAAAATACAATGTAGCACACTTGTACCTACTTCCAAGCAGTAGCAGTGGAATGGTGAAGCTGTCGTTAAAAGGAAAGTCTGCCCACGTGCTTCGTGGTTTGTTTGTATTTCAAGACCCCTCCACGCACGAAGTGTACTATTGCACGCGGTGCCGCAACAACGGCCGATACATTGTTCCTAAGGCACTGTTCGAGGGTCGAATGCCGTTTTCGAGCTACCACGAGTTCGAGTCGCTTTGTACTGACAGCGATTGCTACCACGTGTGGTATGCAAATATGAAACCTGGTAGTTTCTGAAATGTAGAATGTAGGGCTGTAATGTCTTTGACCACCAATGACATCCGACCGCACCACGGAACGTTCACAACCATTTGCCCTTGCATACAGTTCGTTTTGGACAAAGACGATCATGGCATTGTGTGTGCAAGTGTGGTGTCAAAGGCGGACCCTTTCGACGGTGTTGTGATGCAAGCAGTCGGGGTTGGTGTATGGGAATGCACGTCGTGTTCGACGACGCGAACATGCCACCATGTGGTGTGTTGGAAAGAGTTTAGCCAGGCACTCGACGTTGCGGATGTTGCCCAGCACGACAGCGAATGGTGCTCACTCCCCGCTGTGTTGGAAAAAGAAGCACATACACTTGAAGACAAGGATACAATCCCAGCTACCCCTCAAGCCATATCACATGTAAAGTCGACTCGGGGGTTTGACTTGCTGGAGTTCATGCCCGAAAACTAGTGCGTGCTTGCCGACGCCGGTGTGGCTTGTCCATGTGGTTGCCGTTTGCGTTATCAGGCACTTCGATTACTAGCCCTATTGCAGTGTTTGGAATGATGTGCCAAAAAGTTGCCAAGGTTTGCATACACTACATGCAGTGGCATCACTCCAGGTGAGATTGTACTTCGCACGAAACAGTATTGTGGAAGTGGAGCTCAACAAGGGATCGTCCGAATCACTCCCGAGCACTTACTTCGACATTGACCTTTGCAGCTTCATATGATTGAGCTTGATGGACGGGCCGACCTCACTTCGAGGAGTCTGGCGCATTTTGACATCGTTCTATGCAACTCTTAGCGAAGTGTTTTGTCCTTGGACAACATTTCTTCATGGATGCTGGAAAGTGCCGTCCAGGTACAAATGAGATTCGGACGAACAATAATTCGGACGATGACCAGTCACGCCTTCAATGCGTAGGGTGAATTTAGACTTGCACGTGGGTATGAATTGCCCCAGTTGCGGCTCCATACGCACGGCACCTATCCTTATCGGTGATGGCACAAAGCTGGCATGTCGTGCACCTTGCTTGAAGGGCGCCAAGTTACCCGACTAGCTCTGACGTGGGTACCGAAGTCTCTATATCTGACCGATTGGCGATCGGAAGCAAGTCTGCCCGTGACCTTTTGCTTCACTTTGTCGGCTACCCCAAGTCGATGAAATCGATGTCGTCCAACCAACACTTCCAGCTCCTGGCACTACTACGCTCCGACAGTGCAACCATTTTTCTCGACGGTCTGGTCAAGTATTTAATTGACTTGTCTGGTGCTACGGGATTGTGTGACCCGGTGTGGGCGGATTTCCTGTACGATTTGTCCTCAACATGTGTCGTCCCGAACGGCCTTATTCACGAGCCTGAGACTTCCATGCTTATCATCGCCCAACTGGCTAACGATCATTGTGTCAACATCGAGGATGCCGTCACTTTGCAGGGTTTAATGCCAACGCTTTTTAAGGCTTTGCAAACCTCACATCTCCTTCGCAATACAAACCATGTGATGTGGCCGAGCCTTTCCCCCGTGCTTTCGCAAATTGTCGAGATGTGCAGCTAATTGTCACGAATCCCAGCACCAGAAAAGGAGACCAGTAATGTGCAATTTGCGGAACCGACAGTTGGTGACGACGACTTGTCGTCGTGCTTTCCTGGCGCTCCGTGTGTGCGACCGCCAGAATTCTCGAAAATCGCGAGATAAAATCTGCACCAAACTGGCACCTGGCTCGAAGTACAAAATTCCAGGTACATTATCCAAATGGTTATAACATCATTACTGAAACTTACTGTTAATCAATTACACAGGCATCTTTCACTTCGTCTGTCCACACTCAATTTGCCTGGGCTTCACCTTGATGTACGATTTCGATTGAGTCCCTTCCATCCGTTTTCGATTTTGGCGCAGCGACTGAAGCGACATGATGTCAAGAGATATGTTATCATCGACAACGCATGCAACATCCAAAACTACTGCATGTTTCGTGAGCCTTGGATTTTCCGGAACATTTGGTTCCTCGCTGACCGTTTACACTACTCTAATCACAAAAATTGCTCGAGGTGTACACATTCTACAATGCCTAGCTAGCCTCAATATTGTAGTGGCTACTACATCGATAATTTCCCACAACTTAAGAAGATCTCAAGTGCCCTAGCGGAGGTTACAACAACTCTCAACTGTCCTCCATCGTGGGGAGCTGTGGCTACATGGCCAAGGGCAATTTCATGCTTTATACGAAGCATTACATGACCAACATCAACAAAGGACGTTTGGCGAGTATTAAAAAGGCGGTGGAAAAGAAAAAGCAGCCATGAAGGGGCCATCTGGGAGGATGTCAATGCATTCATATCGAAGATACAAGCCAACGTAATTCACCACACCACATAAGTACCATGCAGCCCCAACAAGAAATGCGACCTGTGCTCACAGTAGAACACTAAGAGTGATTCCAATGCCCACATACGCACAGTTTTTAATGCTGGATAACTTGAAAATGGCAGTCTTTGGACGCTGCGAAATATCAGAGTAAATACGATGCAATACTTTCACGAATACTACGTAGTACAGTGCACCATACATCGCTAACCATGGCATCCTGTATTAGTACATCTTTGAAAAGCAAAAAAAGCAATGAAATTTACACATATGGCGGTCGCCTTATCGATAACAAAGCATATACATCATGGATAAGGTAGCATAGAATATACTAGAACTTCACAACCTTTGGTGTCAATCACAGCATCATTGGGCATTATAGTGACACTTGATGCAAAACACCATTGCATGCATCACTCCAAACGAACATGAATTAACTCTGAACGGTACTGGGAATACGGTGAATACTAGAACAATCATTACCTCTAAAGGCCGACCAGCCCACGTGTGTCGCATGTTGCCGCCACATTGACCTAGAATACGAGCACACAGAGTGATCAAACAAAGATCGCTGCACCCCTAGTCAGACTTGCCTAGTGATGGCGACCAGTCTTACTTTGGCTACCTTGCGCCCCACAAGGGCGCAAGGTAACCAAAGTAAGCACTCCCACCAATGTCGCTGTCATCTACACGACTTCAGCAATATACAGTGATGCCTTTCAACGATTCACTTGAGTATTACCCACCATTACATGGCGTCATGCCTAGCGCAATTCCTTTCAATTTTCGATCAAACGTCACTGAGGTGATCAATCATGATTGGTTGGTTCTATTCTCGATTGCTATTGGTTGGACGCTTCTCTCGATTCCTATTGGTTGGAATTTTCTCTCAAACGCAATTGGTTGGATTCAGACCTTGATCGCAATTGGTTGGAATTGTTTCTCGCTCACATTCTAGTTACTATTGGTTGAAAAACAAACACATGAGACACTTATCTGATTGATATGTGCTGAGGTGTAGTATATCCCACTATCCACAGGTGATATTCTACGTTTTTGACGAGTCCGATATTCAGCAGGATAATCTGAGAACTGGACGGAAGATAGAGGTGATTTATAACGTTCCATGCTATTTCCGTTATATAGAGGACTGCATCCGCACAAAGTCTTGTACGCTCGGGCGTATGGATAGTGGTACTTTGAAAAACTAGTTCTACTAATACTAATACAGACGACGAGGGATTTTAAGGGACACCGAAGTTTTGTCAACACATGATTTATATTATCCAAACAAATAATTTTATGAGAATACTACTCACTGCTTGGCTACAGTATTGATTGGGGTGAAATCATTTTAAATGTCAGGTTGACGACATTCGTCGACACGTGTAATTTCACAATAGCCAAAGGCCGTTAGACCGGTGGTGACAGCTTCCGCCTCCCTTGGCAGGTTTCCAAGTCTATGAGAAGAGAGGCCATGTGGGCACAAGGCACCTCTGTCCTTGATCAAGGGATCGACCTGCAGACGGTGCAGGTCATGACGGTTCGTAGGTGCTTATGTCGACTCGGGTTGCCGTTGCTGGAAAATCAGGGAGCGTACCCAGCTGCATCCCGAGTCGACAGAATGACGCGATTCAGAGAGGAGGCACACGGCGTCGGCTCAAAGGTGAGATACACAGGGCGATGTTGTTGGCCAATCTGTCTGATGCATTTTTCTTCAACTGTCAACGCAACACGAACACCACGCCATTGACTTTATAATAAAGTATTGTGCGGCAGTGGGAGACGCATGAGATGTTTCTTTCTGGTCGACAAAGAGTGATTTATCCCCTCCCCTTAACCGTACCCCGTAGGGCCGACCCGCGGGATATAGCTACTACGCATAGCCAAAAAACTTGATTTTCACCAAGTCGATCGGCTACTTGTATACAGTTGTTCTTACGCCTTGGCGGAATCACAACCAACGTGACTTTCAAAACAAGTCATTCATTCTTCAGAGATGTTAAGGCGCTGCTGCAGAAACGTCTGCGTGTACAGTCGTTTCTGCAACAGCGTCTGATCAAAAGTCTGCTCAAGGGTATAGCCATGATCCACTTCTCCATCAAAACGCGGGCTCTCTCATCGTCATCTACAGAGGGTTTTCAGATTGTATGTGATTTTGTACATAGATATGTATATAAAATTGTAAAAAGTACGATCGAGCGGGAACTTGAACCCGGACTTCATGCTTCGCAATCCAAGACTCTAACCACTGCGCCACAGCACCAACAGTTATTGTTTAAACTGAATTATCAAAACCAATCAATATAAAATACTCCATGTTCAAAACTGTGGAAATGAAGCTTCTGCTGTGTGATTGGCTACAATTACTTTCGAATTTCGAAGATCACTAGCCAATCATATTTTGATTTCATGCCGAATTCGAAGGGCCAAGTGTCCCTTAAAATCCCTCGTCGTCTGTACTGTAGTACCATACCGGTATCTTCGAGGAGTTTGACCGTGAGCAATATTACTTCAGTACTAGTAGTATGTAGTCAAAGGCAAGATCGATGTCATGTACAGTACTTACTATACGTATAATCTTAGCAGTAAACCTCAAGGCAGCGAGGATGAAAACAACCGATGCCGGTGCCGTCTTGCGAGGTATACTTACAGACACCAGGCTCATGTTTGGTGTCTGTAAGTATACCTCGCAAGACGGCACCGGCATCGGTGAGCTAGCCCTATAGCACCATGTATAATACTTAATATACATGACACGTTATTACTGAACCGAGGACGCCAGAACACCTGAGTGAATACACGATAAATATAATGTGCATGTCGATCCAGCATTTCGATTTTGCTGTCTACCGTCAGGAGATGTAATTCCATGACTTGGTCAGCCCGTGGCTCACGAGCAGGCTATGAATCGGCCTAGATGCTTGTGTTGGCGGTGAGTATGTCATTCACACCTTTGCCTCTAAGAAACGGTTTCAGGGCATGGACACGGGATAGAAGACTGCACAAGCGGCTTCTTAAAAATCACCAACCCATAAAGGTAAGTAAATATGTCATTCGCGCCTTAGCCGCAAGGCAAGAAATGCATTAAAGACATGGATACGGGATGGAAGTCCACACAAGCATGGGTGAAAACCAAAGTTCGACGTTTGGATAACTCCGCAGTCTTCTCCACTTCAACATAGTTTGCGGGCGTTATGACAATGCTATGCGATAATACGCTTGGTGATCACTTTGAAAAGTCTTGAAGGTATCAAGACTTTTCAAAGTGTTTCATCAATCAATAAGATTAATATCAGCATTTATGTGTCAGATATCTGTGGGGTCCTTTACGCAGTGGTGTGCTGATACCGACGACAACACTGCTCAAGATCTTGGCTTTAGGTACCATCGCCGCTCCAACGAACACTCATTTCCGGACTACAATGCCGTCAAGTGTGCCGTGGGCATATTCACTCGTGCGACTGGGGTGGCATTGTCGTTCTCTGGCCACAAGGGAGACGCCAACAATCGTAAAGCCCAATGCCCTGTGCATGTACAGCCAAATCGATACCCGTCAATCCAAGGATGTGCAGCGCATGTACAATTTAATTGAGAAGAAGCGGGTGCAAGGGTATGCATTGGAATGGAGATCCCCACTCATTCACACGCGTTTCCGCTCGCGGCCAGCTCTACACACGGTGTTGGCGCGTTGGACACAAAACGACAGGTTACATACGTTGGTATGTTTAGTGTGTATTAATCTGTATTTAAATAGATTGACGATGTCACTAGCAAGATCAACTCTATTGACAAGCGACTGCAGGGTGTCGAGTCGGCAGTGGTGAGCATGCACAGATTGCTGGAGGATTTCATCGGCAACCAGCGTAATTATCGGCACGCCGATGACCCGCAGCATGACAGAACTCGACGGCGCACACTGGACAGGGATGACATTTCGAGAATCGATTCGGACACGCCTCCAAAAGAGATGAAATGCAGAAATCGTCGACAAACACAAACATATGCACGACCCAGATCACGGAACGAAAGTGAAGGCGACAGAAGTGACAGAAGCGACCGACACAGGTGCGATTACAAATATGTGAGAATAATCATTCTATAGTAGCCATCCGAGGATGATAACAAACAAGTGCTCCCGAGGTCGTCCACACAGCAATCGGCAACGCCGTCGAACATCTGAGCTAAGCTACGGATCTGGTGCGCCAAGTTATGATGGCAATGCGGCAAACGAGGAACCTTTCACCCCGATGGTTTTGGCTCAACCTCCATTCGCTCAACCTCCGTCCGCTCAATCTCCGTGTGCTGAACCACTATCTGCCCAACCTCCATCCGCTCATCATTCGTCCGTTCAACTCTTGCCCACCCAACTTCCACCTGCTCAACTTTCGCCCGATCTACTTCCTTCTGCTCAACCTCCATCCGCTCAAGTCACACCCACTACCTACTTCTTCCCAACCCCCCGCTGCCCAACCCCCCTCTTCTAAACAAGTATCTGATCCACCACCGCCAGGCCAACCTGCTTGTGTTACAATAGCGTCCACGCAACTTTCGGATAACATTGACAGCTATTGAGAGAACAGCGCGTCGTTCGAAATCACGAAGCAGAGCAAGCAGCTCGACGTTATCCTACCTTGGCGATCGACACCAACGAATTCGGGTCATGGGATTCAAGTAGCTTTTTGTTGCACGAGCTACCATTCACCCATACGAGTTCCTGCCAGAAGCTCTGTGGGGGTGTTCAGACGACATAATGGGGCTCACCCGTGCTTTGGATCGAGATATCTTTGTTTTCGCGGAACCAGATCATAGCGTGAGCTTTGACAAGTACACGTTTGATGGACATGACCTCCAGCGCATTTTGCTTCCGATCGACTAATGGGAGGTTGAAGTCAAAGCTAGTGGCCCAAGTGCTTGCTGCCTTTACCTGCAAGGTAACCACTTTGAACCGTTGCTTCGATCACCTGTTTTAGATTTGTGAATTATATACTAAGTTAGTTTTCGCCTGCACACTGTCATGAGCGTGTGATTTAGCTTTAATTTGAGCTGCTGAACCTACACGACTGCAGAGTCTTGAGCGTACTAAGAGGTTGTCCCACTTAGAGTAATTAGTAACACGGACAGTACTCTGATTATCCTGGTGATTATCGGAACTCCCCCGTTTTTGACGGCGACAATGAGGTCAAATCTAGACTCACAATCAATTTAGCTGATTCAATGCCATGTCCCACCACTAATGAATGTGCATCGAGGTAGAAACCCTCGCACTTGCACTGCAATCGCCCTGCTCCCCCACAGCAGTGCTAAACGCTTCGGGCCACCAACCCCTGAATATACTACTCTACCTAGGCCATGTCGAGGCCAATTTAACGATTCATCGTCCTGTCCCACCACTAATGAATGTGCATCGAGGATGAAACCCTCGCGCTTGCACTGCTATCACCCTGCTCCCCCACAACAGCACTAAACGCTTCGTGCCACCACCAACCCGCACAAGCAGCGGCACTTAATGTCGTGGTGTGTATTCGTTCGGGGGGGTTGTTGCGGACTAGACTTAGCCGATCACATATACTACTCTACCTAGGCCATTTCCAGGCCAATTTAACTGATTCGTCTTCCTGTCCCACCACTGATGAATTGTGGTGGAAACCCTACAGCTTGTCCTGTCCTACCACTACCGTCCAATCCGAATTACTACTTAGTAGTACGCTATACGGAAATGAATGTGTCTCCAGGTTGGAATGATCGGTCGTGGCTTTACTCTCATACCCTACGAAAACCCTTGTTTCTAGTATCGGCCCTCGCGGAGAAATGTCTTAAAGTGTTAATAACGGTAATCCAAAACTCGATTAACCTACGAAAACACTTGTCCCTCTATCACTGCTACTAGTGCGTTGAAGTATGATCTTTTTGACAAGTTCATTGGTCGATCTTTTCTATACAGTGGTTTCATTGGCGGATAAGTTAGGATGATTTGGTTACTGACAATTTGATTGAAACTTATTACAGTACTAGTAGTACTACCAGTACGTGTACACCGAGTACGAGGTAGTATCGTACTTCGAATATGGTGCATGTCATCTATAAGCTACCAACTTTTCACATTTATTTTCTGACTTCTATTTCATATTCATTACTCAAAATTTCAGCAAATTGAGACGTAGAATCGACAGATCTCAATGTGGTGAAGAAATTCTACATCTCAGATTTAAATTTGGTGATGAATTGGTCCCCCAGAAATAGATATTTAACCTAGCGGTATTTTACATGGGCGCTTGGATACTTGGCCATAGGGGCGGCCGCTGAGTTGTATCTTGATTTTTGTATGTGACTCTTATCCGTATATAATATCCGGAGGCAGTTGTGAATCGAGTGATTTCGGTAAACTCATATCGATGTTGACAGGTATTGAGATAAAGAGTACATGGAACATAATATATTTTGATACAAACAACAAGTTGTTTTAATCCTGCAATAATTGTATCACCCAAACTTGTATAATTGTATATTCAAAGCCACCAGATAGGTATAATCTTTCGACGGTTATTTATGCTTGGAGTAAAATTCGGTCATTTTTCAATACAAAACGAAACATAACACAAAGGTTATCATATTTCAAGGAATTCTATTCATACAAGCTTTTTCGCCTTGTAATTCTGCATCTACCATACAAAAACCCAAATAAATGTGATTTCATTAGGAAAAATACAGGACACAACTCTATTCGATGCTGTCGGGCATTGTTAACCTCCCACTGCAGTGATAAAACGCACGAAATCGGTATTTAACGTATTTGGTTTTTGGGTTTAACTACATAATTTGTATGTGAGGCCAGGACATTAGAGAGTTTTCGTAAGAGCTTTTCAGTTAAGATTCAACTTGTGGAAGTGAACTGAAAACCAAGCAATTTCAAACTTTCGGGCAGATCTAAACCTTAACGTTGACGAAAATATCAGTACTTTCGGAAAGGTTTTGAGCTAACTTCTAGATTATCCGGATTTACGTTACTGGTCAAAAATACCCCAACCGCGCATCCTTCGCAATAGAGAGCTGGTGTCCCTTATTGCCTGCGTAATGCAGCAGTGCCATGGTGATTTCGACATGTTTCACACCGTAATTCAAGGCTTAATGGCATCCAAATTCATGAGACTGAGGCCCGAGAAGCCAATTGTCTCGTACAACAACAATTTCGACCGTGACATGCACAACGCCACGGCAGCGCATAAGTTCCGGTTCACAATCGACCAACTCCGCGTGCTCGCTGTGGCTCTACGACTGCCAGCCTTTGTCAGTACACCGAGCTCCGATCAAGTGGAGTCGCTCGAGGCACTTGCAATCCAGCGTCGACGACTGGCTGAGCTCTGTCGACTTTCCACCATTGCAGATGAATTCGGGCGTTCCGTCGAGGCCTGCAGCCGTAGCTTACGAAACACCACAACCCTTTCACCAGGTGAAAGCTCCACTCAACCGATTTCCGGACGGAGCTCATGGACGAGTTGAAAATAGCCTCGAATGATCCTGGAATAGCGCAGGGAAATGGGTAGGATAGGCACTAGCGGCATCTATATGTTGGGTCGCCATACAAATAGTACAGTAGCGCGACAGAACCCCGTCTTCTTTCATCCTGTCCAGTATGCGGCTCATGGAGAGCATGGTGGAATCGTGGCGCCGCCCCTCTACCGGCCCGTACATGCTGATGATGATGCCGTCAGGAACGGTGATGCCTTGCCAGTTCAGACAATGCAACGGGGGCGACCGTTGTACACCGAATGTTGAAGGTTCTCGTGCTCTTGACCTTCTGCTCGCGCCGACGGACGGCTGATGTACTGCTTCCTCCCATCAATGAACGCAACACAGGTGCGCAACCCTCTGAGCCCACTCTTCGACTCGATCGCACCAGCATACGTTTCTACTGACATGCTTACAACAGTGTTAACACGTACCAACTCGGTCTACGAGCAAGGCTTCGTGAAAGCGGATCACTTCGCTCCAAGTCTTGTACAGAGCAGTTGCGGTCGCGCGGACGATGCGACAGAAAGATGAAAGTTCGCAATGCACCAGTAGGCATCCTGTGGCATGTGGCCATACTCCTGACGAACTGCCACACCTGTCTCAAAGCTGAGGGGAATCAAATCTCAATGCACTTCGATGTAGCCCCCCCCTGATTGAATGAATCATAGATCTAATCTAGTTAAGAAACTTTCCTAATAAGAATTGCGTAGTTTAAATCCAATTTGACGAATACAAGTGCAAGTTAATTTCAAAAGGAAATCCTTGCACTAACATGAAATTCAATATTATTACAATAAAAATATGACGTTCAAAGCGATTTCAACGTCCAAAACAACATTGGGTGGAAAATATGCATATTCACTCGTCAAAACTCCTATATATGGCCTAATTGTTGGTCTACATCACTATTTTGAATTTGAATTAGGTGAAATTATTCCTAATCGGACTCAAATCTTTCTATTCCATTTTTTTAGCAATTGCTGCAACTAAAATCTACCAAGACACGTTGTTGCGCAGCAAGCTGCTCAGCATCGCGATTAGCTTGTTCTCGAGCATATTGTAAACGCTGCGCCTCACGCCGCTCCTTGTCCTCAATGCCTTCACGAATGATGCCCATAAGGCTCGCAATATCGAGGGAATGAGCTGGTTTCTTCGACTTCTTGCGCCGCTTGATCGGAGTGATCTCAGCGTCCTCGGTCTTCTTGGCAGACATTTCAAGCTCTACCATGGCCAATTGGCGCATGGCCAATCCCGAATTCTCGACGCCTTACGTTTCCGCTTCGCAGCATTCTTGCGCACGGCTTCGTTTTCGGCAAAATCGTCCACGCGCAACTTGATGTCTGTCAGGAGCTGGTCACGTTCAGAGTACTCCTCAGTTGTCCCCGACTTGCGCAACGACGCACTCTCCCCCTTCTCGTGCTTTGCCAACAGGTATTCGAACCTGGTCTTCAGTGCGCCCGGCTTCTTCACCATTGAAAATCCAGGCATGCGGTTCAACTCTGTCGCAACCTCGGCCCAGATCGTCATCACCGTCCCGTATTCACCCTCCCACGGTCGCGACAGGGACACCTGTTGGAGCAGCATGATGTCGTGGCAACGTGCGAACTTTCCTGTGGGAAGCGGCGTGGTGTCGCTTTCGTCAGTTGTTGTAGCCATGAACCAAAGAGGAGAATGAAGCACCTGTATTATCCGTAGATATATCCGTATCTTGCAACCTTCGACGTCGATCACTTTTGAGATAAGGTGCCTTCTATCTGAAAAGTTGTTCAGATCCACTGCTTTATCAAGATTCATTTATACAGGATAATTAATATTGGTAGGATATTTTGCAATCTCAACTGAAAAGTGGCGCTCCGAAAACTCTCTATTTCAGATTCTTGAATAATGGCAATTCGAATTTCATTATTAGAACCCGGATAGGTTAAAACCTTGTGCAGTGCGAATTTCGCAAATCGTCCGCTGCAAATTGGTTTTATCCAGAAAACGTTATCCAATCAAACGTGGTTATTATTCTTGGTGCATGACTCTTCAGGTCAACTGTACATGGTTAATGTGCGGATAATAATTATCCGGACGCCATGTCAAACGCACATCCAAGCTCTCCTCGACAAAATCAGGCCCCACCCACTCGCTGGCCCAAAGCACGACTGAACCTCTGATTTCGACGACGACACCCCCACCATTTCTACAAGTATTCCAAGAGTCGACGACAACACCAAATACCACTACATCACCAACGACCATTTCAACCAAGTCCACGCACAAGCCGTCCTCGGCTATTTTGGGGAATTCCGAAATACAAACCAACGCTTGGGATGCAGTTATACTGTAGTTTTACACTTACCACGAAGTAGAGCACTATAGAATATTTCTAGATAAGTACTTATCGTGATGGCAGCACGACAGCATTCGTGTACATAAATCACCGAGGATCATCCACAAGTCAAAACGAAGGACTGCTTAGTATGTGTATTCCGCTTTATTATATACTAGTACCTAAGAAGTAGGACGACTATTTTCTACAGGTTCGTTGGTGCCTAATGCAGACCCTTTTGTTGTGTCACTGACTTCTGGAACGCCTTCACCACACGCATCTGGACCTGCAGGCGCTTCAAACTTCGACGCCACAATGTCTTGGTGCGGGCACTGGGGACGTTCTCGACAACCGAGGTTTCCTGGCACATCGTAAAGCTGGCAGGAAGGGTGATGCAACGAAGGAACAGGCCCACCGGTAACGAAAGCGAGCCGAGGCCGATGCAGATAAACCATTGGGTCAGATCCAACGGCACGCAACCAAACACGAGCGACCCAAACTCGATGATCAACACTTGCAAGACCAACTGCACCACCGAAATGCCAAGGTAGATGTGGTTGGTCAGGATGCCTTCAAACACGTTCAGCTCGTCGTGGATGCGACGGGCGTTGATTTCGTTGAACAGCTGCAGGAACACGAACGTGTTGAAGATCATCGTGTAGTGCACGGACGGTCCGGTCGCGCCAACCGGCTTGCGGTCGTACTTGCGGCCCGAATCAATGCCGAAGATCTTGTCCCCGGCAAACGTCATGGTGAGAATCACCGCCAACTGGAAGATGGACTGACCAACCATGTGCTTCAACATGCGCTCCGAAATGAGGGGCTTGGTGCGCGGGTACGGCTTGCGCTTGAGCATGGCTTCCGTGGGGGCATCCGTGGCTAGCGCCAACGACGCAAACGTGTCCATGATCAAGTTGACCCACAGCAACTGAATGGCCGTGAGCGACGACTCTTCCAGCACCACCGCGCCAATCACCGCCGTGGAAATGGCCACAATGTTCACCGTCAGCTGAAACTGGAGGAACTTGGCGATCGAGTCGTACACGTTGCGGCCCCACTTGACCGCACTCACGATCGACCGGAAGTTGTCGTCCATGAGAATGATGTCCGACGCGTCCTTGGCCACCGCCGTGCCGCAGATTCCCATCGCAAACCCGACGTCCGCCTTCTTCAAAGCCGGGGCGTCGTTCGTCCCATCGCCCGTCACGGCCACCACTTGGGGACCATGCGGATACACGTTCGACTGAATCAACCCAGACACCAGCGTGTACTTGTCCTTGGGACTCGACCGAG